GGATCTCTTGATGTATCTCTTCCATTTGGGATCTCTTGATGTATCTCTTCCATTTGGGATCTCTTGATGTATCTCTTCCATTTGGGATCTCTTGATGTATCTCTTTCATTTGGGATCTCTTGATGTGTCTCCTCCATTTGGGATCTCTTGATGTATCTCTTCCATTTGGGATCTCTTGATGTATCTCTTCCATTTTGGGATCTCTTGATGTATCTCTTCCATTTGGGATCTCTAGATGTATCTCTTCCATTTGGGATCTGTAGACACATTGAATGCTGTGTCTATGAGGACTATCGGCAGACTGTGGAGATCTCTGGACAGATCCTTATTGCCACAATCGATAGTTGCACCTTTCTTACTTCAAGAGCCAGTGCGGGTGCAGTGGAGCCAAGCAGACAACGTTTGTGATTTGCGCCATGGAACGTCTGCATTGCCTCGCCGTATCAGATCTGTTAGGAAGGATTTGTTATTGAAACGTTCCGGAAGATCAGATTCCTGCTGTGAATGGAGTGCTGGAATTCTGCCTCGGTAATAACACGATTCCCAGGCGGAGTCGCTGGCAGCGCGCTCGTCATAGCGGGAAATTATAATGTGCGGCTTTACACGCCGCCTTCGCTGTTGTGTTGTATTGTACTGCATGCAACAAGCAGGGTAGCTGGATGCAGTAACCATGGCAACCCTCCATGGCAACCAAGCGTCACGTGCCTGACCAGCATCCCCCCCCCCAACCATCCCCCCGGCCCACTTCACGTGCTGTCAGCGTCTAATTTTAGGTTCCCTGTGTCCCGTGATAATCTGGTGGAGGACGTGACAAACATGCAGAGTACCCGTGTAGACTAATGCCGTACCGGATATCCCATCATCCCCCAACCTGGCGCCGCAGTACCCCCCCGATCACAGGGAGCGCAGCACACCGATCGCTAGAACAAGTGTCGGGCCCCCCCCCCGTCTGTCCCATCTACATCTCCCCTCCCCCCCCCGTATTCTCTGCCAGCCAAGTGATCAGCGATACTTTGTTACTTGTCTGACAGTACAACCAATAGAGATACAGATTTATCAATAGAGAGAAAAATGTATCAGGAGAGGTACAGAGGGATTGGGAGAGGTGCGGAGGGATTGGGAGAGGTGCGGAGGGATTGGGAGAGGTGCGGAGGGATTGGGAGAGGTGCGGAGGGATTGGGAGAGGTGCGGAGGGATCGGCAGAGGTGCGGAGGGATTGGGAGAGGTGCGGAGGGATTGGGAGAGGTTCAGAGGGATCGGCAGAGGTGCAGGGGGGTCGGCAGAGGTGCAGGGGGGTCGGCAGAGGTGCAGGGGGGTCGGCAGAGGTGCAGGGGGGGGATCGGCAGAGGTGCAGAGGGATCGGCAGAGGTGCAGAGGGGATCGGCAGAGGTGCAGAGGGATCGGCAGAGGTGCAGAGGGATCGGCAGAGGTGCAGAGGGATCGGCAGAGGTGCAGAGGGATCGGCAGAGGCAGGCAGGGGGATCGGCAGTGGTACAGAGGGGTCGGCAGAGGTGTAGAGGTGCGGAGGGATCAGGAGAGGTGCGGAGATGGGGGGTCGGCAGAGGTGCGGAGGGTCGGCAGAGGTGCGGAGGGGTCGGCAGAGGTGCGGAGGGGGTCGGCAGAGGTGCGGAGGGGTCGGCAGAGGTGCGGAGGGGTCAGCAGAGGTACAGCGGTCTCAACTTTCCCTATAAATGTTATATCCAGTTATATTCTGTGTATCCAAGAAAGAATCCAGGACTTTCCTACAGCAATCCACAGAGCTGGCCACAACCAATTCCTGAGGGAGTCTATTCCACATTCTCACAGCTCTTACTGTGAAGAAACCTTTCCGTGTTTGGAGATTACATTTCTTTTCCTCCAGACGTAAAGAGCGCCCCCTTGTCCTCTGTGAAGGGGAGAGATCACCGGCAATGGCTGGATGGTGATGTCACCTATAGGCATACTGTGGGGCATCCACTGTCTCTCCTCTACATTGAAGCCGGCGCTGGGACCCGATCATGGGACCCGATCATGGACCGGGCTGAAAGCAGCTTCAGAATAGGTGAGTGTTCAGATCCTTCTTTGTACAGGAGGATAGAATAGGCTCAGAATGGCGCTGAGGGCGGGTTTAGGTATAGTCAGGTTTTGACTTGCCTTCCACTTCAAGCGTCGCTCCATGCTTGGATACCACCATGAAAGGTATGACATACAGTGGTATCCATGTAAAAATGGGAGTCACATCAGTGACCATCCGCTGAATGTTCGGGGTGAGTACAGTGGGGCTCAGCCCTTCCCCCTCTCCAGTTTTGGTTGGAGTTGGCCAGGTCTTGGTAATGGATGAGTTGAGGTGTTTGTGTGCTGGGCTGCATGTTCTCTGTGTGTACAGCCATGTGGTAGGGGAGCACCTGTACCCTTGAACCCATTCCTACCCGGCCCCGAAATTAACCCCCTTAGACTAACTGAGATGCTATGGGCACAGGATCCTCCCCCCTGAGCCCCAGTACAGTAGCACCCCTGAGAGTACCCCTGACAGTACCGTGAAAGTGCACTAACCCGGCTCCAACCGGTGACCGAGGTCTTTTCTGCTTCCACAGAACACGTACACCAATGCAGACAAGTTACTGGAAGCAGCAGCAGAGCAGTTGGCCCAGACCGGGAGTGCGACCCGGAGGAGATCTACAAGGCGGCTAGACACCTGGAGGTCCGGATCCAGGACTTCGTCCGCAGGGTGGAGCAGAGGAAACTCTTACTGGACATGTCCGTCTCCTTCCACAGCCACACTAAGGAGGTAAGTGCTGCCTGGAACTTCCAGTCCTCTGGGTATCGTTCCATCCACCATTATCTGTAGATCTACCTATAGAGGTTGGCCCATACACAAGGCAACCCATGAGGTCTCTCCTGGGCAGATTAAAGGCAGAAGACTTCCTCAGGGTCATTTTCAGTATAGAAAGTGCAGCTACTCAGACTTGGAGGTCAGCTGCATTAGTTTGCTCATCACACGTTGTCTCTCCACCAATCAGGATATTAAAGAACATATAGAATATATAGTACACAAAATGTCACAGGGCCATCGTTTTCTTTCCCTCAGTATGGACTCCCCCCCTCCCCAGTGCAGACTCCCCCTTCTTTCCCCCCATGTACATATCTTCCCCAGTACAGAAAGTAAAGATCACCCCCCCCCCCAGTACAGCTCTCCCCTCCTACAAAGTATAGATTTACCCCAGTACAGATCTCACCCTTTCCCAGTACTGGTTTTCTTCCTCAGTACAGATCCCTCCTCCCCAGTACCGAGCCCCCCCTCCTCTCCAGTACCGAGCCCCCCCTCCTCTCCAGTACCGAGCCCCCCCCTCCTCTCCAGTACCGAGCCCCCCCCTCCTCTCCAGTACCGAGCCCCCCCTCCTCCCCAGTACCGAGCCCCCCCCTCCTCCCCCAGTACCGAGCCCCCCCCCCTCCTCCCCAGTACCGATCCCCCCCCTCCTCCCCAGTACCGATCCCCCCCCCTCTCCAGTACCGAGCCCCCCCCTCCTCTCCAGTACCGAGCCCCCCCCCCTCCTCTCCATACCGAGCCCCCCCCCCCTCTCCAGTACCGAGCCCCCCCCTCCTCTCCAGTACCGACCCCCCCTCCTCCCCAGTACCGAGCCCCCCCCCTCTCCCCCAGTACCGAGCCCCCCCTCCTCTCCAGTACCGAGCCCCCCCCTCCTCTCCAGTACCGAGCCCCCCCTCCTCTCCCCCAGTACCGAGCCCCCCCCTCCTCCTCTCCAGTACCGAGCCCCCCCCTCCTCCTCCCAGTACCGAGCCCCCCCCCTCCTCTCCAGTACCGAGCCCCCCCTCCTCCCCAGTAACCGAGCCCCCCCCTCTCTCCTCCTCCCCCAGTACCGAGCCCCCCCCTCTCCCCCAGTACCCGAGCCCCCCCCTCCTCCCCAGTACCGACCCCCCCTCCCTCCTCCCCAGTACCGACCCCCCCCCGACCCTCCTCCCCAGTACCGACGACCCCCCCCTCCTCCCCAGTACCGATCCCCCCCTCCTCCCCAGTACCGATCCCCTCCCCCCTCCTCCCCAGTACCGATCCCCTCCCCCCCTCCTCCCCAGTACCGATCCCCTCCCCCCCCTCCTCCCCCAGTACCGATCCCCTCCCCCCTCCTCCCCAGTACCGATCCCCCTCCCCCCCCCTCCCCCAGTAACCGATCCCCCTCCCCCCCCTCCTCCCCAGTACCGATCCCCCTCCCCCCCCTCCTCCCCAGTAACCGATCCCCTCCCCCCTCCTCCCCAGTACCGATCCCCTCCCCCCTCCTCCCCAGTACCGATCCCCCTCCCCCCCCTCCCCCAGTACCGATCCCCCCCCCCTCCTCCCCAGTACCGATCCCCTCCCCCCCCTCCTCCCCAGTACCGAGTCGCCTCCCCCCTCCTCCCCAGTACCGATCCCCCCCTTCCTCCCCAGTACCGAGCCCCCCCCCCCTTCCTCCCCAGTACAGAGCCCCCCCCCCCCCCCCCCCTCCTCCCCAGTACAGATCCAACCCCCCCTCCTCCCCAGTTCCTATTCCCCCCTCCTCCCCAGTACCCCGAGCCCCCCCTCCTCCCCAGTACCGATCCCCTCCTCCCCATACCGATCCCCCCCTCCTCCCCAGTTTCGATTCCCTCCCCTCCTCCACAGTACAGATCCCCCCTTCCTCCACAGTACAGATCCCCCCCACCTCCACAGTATACAGATCCCCCCCCTCCTCCACAGTACAGATCCCCCCCCCTTCCCTCAGCAGTACAGATCCCCCTCCGCAGTACAGATCCCCCTCCTTCCCTCCGCAGTACAGATCCCCCTCCTTCCCATCCGCAGTACAGATCCCCTGCTTCCCCCTCCCTCCCCGGTACAGATCCCCTGCTTCCCCCTCCCCCTCCCTCCCCGGTACAGATCCCCTGCTCCCCCTCCCTCCCCGGTACAGATCCCCTGATTCCCCCCCTCCCTCCCCGGTACAGACCCCCCCCCTCCCTCCCCCCCGGTACAGATCCCCCCCCCTCCCTCCCCCGGTACAGATCCCCTGCTTCCCCCTCCCTCCCCGGTACAGATCCCCCCCCCTCCCTCCCCGGTAACAGATCCCCCCCCCCCTCCCTCCCCGGTACAGATCCCCCCCCCCATCCCTCCCCGGTACAGATCCCCCCCCCTCCCTCCCCGGTACAGATCCCCCCCCCCCCCCTCCCCGGTACAGATCCCCCCCCCCCCCCTCCCCCCGGTACAGATCCCCCCCTTCCCCCCCCCCTCCCCCCCCGGTACAGATCCCCCTCCCCCCCCCTCCCCCCCCGTACAGATCCCCCCCCCCTCCCTCCCCGGTACAGATCCCCCCCCCTCCCTCCCCGGTACAGATATCCCCCCCCCCCCCCCCCCCCTCCCTCCCCGGTACAGATCCCCCCCCCTCCCTCCCCGGTACAGATATCCCCCCCCCCTCCCTCCCCGTACAGATCCCCCCCCTTTCCTCCCCCCCCGGTTTGTATCCTCCCTCCCCGATACAGATCCCCCCCCCTCCCTCCCCGGTACAGATCCCCCCCCCCCCCCCTCCCCGGTACAGATATCCCCCCCCCCCCTCCCCGGTACAGAGGTCCCCCCCCCTCCCTCCCCGGTACAGATCCCCCCCCCTCCCTCCCCCCCGGTACAGATCCCCCCCCCTCCCTCCCCGGTACAGATCCCCCCCCCCCCCTCCCCCCTCCCCGGTACAGATCCCCCCCCCAGTAGAGAGTGAATGAACTATCCTAAAAACGGGTGGAACATGTAACTAACGTGTTCCCAAAGGTGAACTTATCCTTTAAGAAATGTCCTCGGCCTTCCCAGATATCTTCTGTGAACAAAACCCCTCCTCCGTGTAATGAAGATGAGGAGAGGGGGGAGGTGCTCAGTCTTAAAAATCAGGAGTGCAGCCTAGGGTGACAACACTGATCCTCCAGAGATACAGTGAGTGAGCGTTGTCACCCTAAGGCAGCAAGTGTGTTACTGGCAGGATCGGCAGGTGGAAATTAAAGGGGAATAAAGCTTGAAAAAAATGGAAAAAAAAAATACATCTACGGACTGAAAAGCTGCAGTATAATACATATTTTTTCCTGGGGGGGGGGGGGGGGAATACACTGAAATATTATCAGATACAAGGTTACAGATGAACACTCCTCCTCGGGGGACATTCACTCATCCAGCTTGTTTTCCTGAAGCCGATCATCCGTTTATCAGAGCTCTCGTCTGCCAGGCGCAGATATGGATGGCGCGCTCAGGGCTCATACACATTAGACGGTGTCCGCGCCGGCTGATAACGGCTAATGTGTGATGTGTCGGCTGATTGGAGCCCTCCACAGACAAGACTCTCTCTCCGCTCTCAGGATGGAGGAGAAATCTCCCAGCAAATAACAAACATTTTGGCGTCTGATAACCTTTCATCAGGACGAGCCGGCAATCAGGAAATGTTCCTCCGCGCCGACCGTTCGCCCCTTCGAGGAGCTTCTTCAGAGATTTCTAATCAAACCAATCAAACTATCCCTCAGACATCTGCAGAGATCCTGATTCCAGAGAGAGACCCCCCGCCATCCTTGCCTCATGTTCCTGCAGTGCCTGGACTGATAGCTGGTCATCGGTGGGGGGGGGGGGGGGGATAGAGCTCCATTCACTGGAGATGAGTGAACCGGGCCGGGATCTGTACATGGGCCGGGATCTCGAAACCTAGCGCTACACCCTGCTGAAGTCTTCGGGAGGCAATACTCATTATTTATTTATTTTTCTGCCCCTTTTTCAAGGCCACCAAGCAGGCTATTGCTGAAAGATGAAACATGGGAAGCCGGGCCCTGCCATGGGGGATGTGTATTAATTAAAAAAAATATATATTATTGGGGGGGGTAGAAGGAAATTTTTTCTTCTTTCCATCCAGCCACTTTATAAAAACGGCCCGACGTTGTTTTCCTCGATGCTGGAGGGCGTCTTAGAATGGAGCAGATGTCTGACGGATAGTTTGATTGGTTTGATTAGAATTCTCTGAAGAAGGTCCTCGAAGGGCGAACGGTCGGCGCGGAGGAACATGCTCCCGCCGCTTGTTAGCACCCTCTAGGATACGCAGTGGCAGGGCCCTGCGATGGAGTGGTTAAAGGGCAACGTAAAGAACACATAGATCCTGTAAACACCACGACTGGGGGATGCATTAAAGCTGCACATGGTGTCATGGAACTAGACGATGTAATCCCTGGGTGTCAAACTCCATCTCATTGAGGGACACCTCAGCATGATGGCTGCCATCAAAGGGCTGGTTGTATCTGCAGTGCGGGGCTGCAGGCCGGGGAAGGTATTTGCTGGCGTTGGATCAGGCAAAGGCTTTTGATCGGGTCAGCCATGAGTACCTGTGGATGCTCCTTAGTAAGTACGGTCTGCCAGGGGGTTTGCCGATTGGTTGAAAGTCTTGCATAAGGGGGCGGAAAGCTTCCATCTTGTTAATGGTTGGGTTGGGCAGTCCTTTGAGGTTGGCTCTGGGGGGGGGCGCCAGGGTTGTCCTCTGAGTCCCTGGCTCTATGTGTTTGCAATCGACCCCTCAGGGTGGTTGGAGAGGGGCATGTTGTGTGGGGTACCAGTGGGGCTCCTGGGGGGTGAGCCACCTTTGAGGGTTGTTGCCTATGGGGACGATGTATCAGTGATTGTCACGGGGGGGACGGATGAAGCAGAGGAGGCGGTCTCTCTGACATCACGGTACTCTGAAGCATCAGGCTCCAAGACCAATCAGGATACGAGTAATGTCCAGAGCACCCCCCCCCCCCCCCCTTCCCTTACATCAGAAGTCAAGAGCCCCCCACCATCAAAAGTCAAGAGCCCCCCACCCTCCCTTGCATCACAGTTTACCCCCCCCCCCCCTTTACATCAGATGTCAAGACCCCCCCCCCACCATCAGAGGTAGAGGGTCCCCCACCCTCCCTTACATCACAGTTCACCCCCCCCCCTTCTCCGTTATATCAGATGTCAGGACCCCCCCACCATCAGAATTCAAGGGTTCCCAACCCTCCCTTACATCACAGTTCACCCCCCCCTTCCCTTACATCAGATGTCCAGACCCCCCCCCCCCCCCAGTATCAGAAGTCACGAGTCCCCCACCCTCCCTTACATCACAGTTCACCCCCCCTTCCGTTACATCAGATGCCAAGACCCCCCCCCCACCATCAGAATTCAAGGGTTCCCCACTCTCCCTTACATCACAGTTCACCCCCCCCCCTTCCCTTACATCAGATGTCAAGACCCCCCCCCCCCCCGACTATCGGAAGTCACAAGTCCCCCACCCTCCCTTACATCACAGTTCACCCCCTCCCCTCCTTCAGTGGTGTTGCTGCAGGGATGAATCTGGGAAGCCAAAAGTGCAGGTCTGGAGGAGGAGCAGAGGAGGTCTGGAGTCAAATGGCCTGGATCAAAAGTTTCCCTCCCCTGGAAGGTCCGGCCTTGGTACAGACACACAAGGTGACACACGGGTTACAATGCCAATTAGAGGTTAGTGTCCCACATCTGTGGCTTTTTAAATTGCAATCAGTGTCAGCGTATAAATAGTCGGTGAGTTTGTTAGCTCTTACGTGGAAGCACTGACTAGGCTAGATACTGAGCCCTGGAGATCAGAAAAGAACTGTCAAAAGTCCTGCGTAACAAGGTAATAGAACTTTATAAAGATGGAAAAGGACATAAAAAATGTCCAAAGCCTCGAATATGCCAATCAGTACTGTTAAATCACCTATTAAGAAGTGGAAAGTTCTGGGATCTCTTGACCAGGTAGACCAAGAAAGATTGCAGCAATAACCGACAGAAGAATTGTCCGGGATTCAAAGAAAAACCCACAGGCAACCTCAAAAGAAATACAGGCTGTTCTGGAAAAAGATGTGTTGTTTTTAAGGAGTACAATCTTTATAAAGTTCCATTACCTTGTTACACAGGACTTTTGACAGTTCTTTTCTGCTCCCCATGGCTCAGTATCTAGCCTAGTCAGTGCTTCCACGTAAGAGCTAACAAACTCATTGACTATTTATACACTGACACTGATTGCAATGGAAGAAGCCACAGATGTGGGACATTAACCTCTAATTGGCATTGTAACCCATGTGTGTCACCTTGTGTGTCTGTACCAAGGCCCAACATTCCAGGGGGCGGAGACTTCTGATCCAGGGGGGCGGAGACTTCTGATCCAGGGGGCGGAGACTTCTGATCCGGGGGCGGAGACTTCTGATCCGGGGGCGGAGACTTCTGATCCGGGGGCGGAGACTTCTGATTCGGGGGGGGGGGAGCGGAGACTTCTGATCCGCGCCATTTGGAGGATTTCTGTTATTATTATGATTTAAAAAGGAGCCAATGAACTATTTGATAATAAATGTCTTCATATGATCATCATCCTTCAATAAAAGAGCATTTTTTGGCAGATCCATCATATTCTCAATATGTCAATGCCAAAATTTCACAATTTCTGCCGGGGGAGGGAACTTTTGAGCACAACTGTATAGGTAAAGTTGATCCAGGGAATATCCGATTGCCTCTCGGGGGATCAGGAAGGAATTTTTTTCCCCAGCAGGAGCAAATTGGATCGTGCTTTGCTGTTTTTTTTTTTTTGCCTTCTTCTGGATCCACTGTGGGTGTAGGATTATAACTTTTTTTTTTTTTTATGGTTGAACTGGATGGACCTTTGTCTTTTTTCAGCCAGACTAACTATGTAGCTATACTATGTAACTATACTTATCGCTGCTGATATCGCCGCGTCATACATTTTATCCAAGGTTGAGGTTTTAGGTTGAAGCCAAAAATCTGGAAGTGGCTCTTACATGTCTGGGTGGGATGGATTCATTTTTCAAGTGTGATTAGTGTAGAATACAGGTGGGAAAAGTTTATTTTATTATTATTGTTATTATTATTATTATTATTATTATTATTATTATTATCATTATTATTATTATCATTATATTATCATTATTATTATATTATTTTATTATTATTTTTTTATTATTATAATTGTTATTTTTATTATTATATATTATTATTTATTATATTATCATTATTATTATTAATAATAATAAATAAATAAAAAATAATAAATAATCTAGAACACATTTTATGAAGCTCTGCATCAAAACAAATCACGGCAGGTTTCGGAATTCTCACCATCAAGGAAATGATGATCTCTATGCAATCTCTGTTTGCTGATCTCTAGTTCTCGCCCTCTATGGGGGGGCGGTAGTTCTCTCCATTCATGCTCAGACACCCGTCCTTCTGTACCAATCCGTCGTTCCCCGATCTCGTGTTCCAGTTCCATTTTTTGTAAGGTGAGTTATTAAGAGAACGGGGACGTGGAACACGATGGATCTGTGGGATTTATGTAACGTTTGTCTCTCCGGGACGCGCTGACCCCTTTCACATATCGTCCCATTAATTTGGCTAATTTTAGTTTTACTGCCCTAAACTTGGAGCTGACGGTTCTACACAGAGGGGTCACTGGGGCATTCATACACTTTTAATGAGTTTTCAGGTTGGAGGATGTAGGGAGGTCATTGGATGGTGTGTGCTGTCAGAATGTTCAAACTTTTTTCTTTCTTTTTTTGGAAATGTTACAATAGAAGGTGAAAAACAAAAACACAAATATCATCACTGCTGAGCACATAAAGTAGTGTGGGGTGATGTGGGGGACACACAGGGCCCCGGGACCTGCAAAGGGCAAAAAACAATTTCTGTCTGCTGCAGTGAGATCAGTGAATGAAGAACCTTTCTCTCCCTCCCTCCATTTCTTCATTCTCTTCCCGCCCCCCCCACATTTTTTCTCTTCTCCCCTTTTTCTCTCTCTCTCATCTCCCTCTGCTATTTCTGCTCTCATCCGCTCTGTCTCCTCCCAATTCCCCACCCCACCCACTCTATCTCTCTCGTCTCCCATTTTCTTTATTTTCTCCTTTCTCTCTTCTTAGCCCACCCCATTCTTTCTTCCTTTCTCCACTTCTGCTATCCCCTCCCTTGCACCCCCCCTTTGTTTTTTTCTCTCTCCGCCCCCTCTCTCTCCTCTGCCCCTGCCCTGCTCATTCTCCTTTTCCTCTGCTCTTCCCCTACTCATTCTGCTTTCCCTTCTCCTCTGCTCCTCCCCTGCTCACCCCCCTTCTCCTCTACTCCTCCCCTGCTCATTCTCCTCCCCACCCCCCCCAGTCTTTCTTCTCTCTCTCCCTCCTCTGCATCCTCCTTTTCCTCTCCCCTGCTCATTCTCCTCTCCTTCCTTCTCCTGTGCCCCTCCCCTGCTCATTCTCCTCTCCTCCCTTCTCCCCCTCCCCTGTCATTCTCCCCTCCCCTGCCCCATTCTCCTCTCCTCCCTTCTCCTGTGCCCCTCCCCTGCTCATTCTCCTCCCTCCCTTCTCCTGTGCCCCTCCCCTGCTCATTCTCCTCCTCTCCCCTCCCTTCCTCCCTGTGCCCCTCCCTTGCTCATTCTCCTCTCCTCCTTTCTCCTGTGCCCCTCCCCTGCTCATTTTTTTCACCCCTTCTCCTCTACTCCTCCCCTTCTCATTCCCCTCTCTGCTTCTCCCCGCCCTGCTCCTCTGCTCCTCCCCTGCTCATTCTCTTCTTCCCCCTTCTGCTCTGCCCATCCCCTGCTCATTATCCTTCCCACTCTTTTTTTTTTCTCTCTCTCCTTCCTCCACATCCCCCCCTCTCCCTCCCCCTTTCATTCTCCTCTCCTCCATTCTCCTCTGCCCCTCCCCTGCTTATTATCCTGACCCTCCCCTCCCAACCTTATTTTTCTGCTCCCTTTTTCTTTTCTTCCTCCAGTTCTCCCCTCCCTCTGTCTCCTCTCCTCCTCCCGACCCTCCCCTGCTCTTGCTCCTCACTCCCTCTCTCTTTCCTGCTTCTCTCCCCCCTTTTCTTCTTTGCTCCTGTCCCCCCCTCTTTGTTCTGTACATCCCCAACCTTTGTTCTCTCTCTCCTCTTCCCCCCTGCTCTCCCCCCCACTTCTCTTTCATTTGTTCCCTCACTGTTCTTATTTGTAATGTCTCGCCTGTCCATGTCTCTCTGCCCCCCTCCATGACCATTGTGTATATGTACCTCTTCTGCATTGTGTGTAATGGCTCTTTGTGCCTCCCCAGCTGTGGACGTGGATGGAGGATCTTCAGAAGGAGCTCCTGGAAGACGTCTGTGCGGACTCGGTGGATGCCGTTCAGGAGCTGATCAAACAGTTCCAGCAGCAGCAGACGGCCACCCTGGACGGGACCCTCAATGTCATAAAAGAGGGCGAGGATCTCATCCAGCAACTCAGGTAAGGATGTAGGAAGCGAATGTACAGCAGCGGGTGTTCAGCCCTGTGTGGTCTTCAGATGTAGATTGTAAGCTCTTCTGTCCACCCTCCAGGGACTCGGCGGTGTCCAGTAATAAAGCTCCGCACAACAGCTCCATCAGCCACATCGAGTCGGTTCTGCAGCAGCTGGACGAAGCTCAGGTTCAGATGGAGGAACTCTTCCACGAGCGGAAGATCAAGCTGGACATCTTCCTGCAGCTCCGGATATTCGAGCAGTACACGATAGAGGTGAGGCTGCACCCCGATATCTGCATATCTATGGGACCCCCGATCAGGGGCGGACTGACCATTTGGAAACTCGGGCACTGCCCGAGGGCCCAGGGTCAGTAGGGGGCCCCATGAGATGCCCCTGGTACCTTTTTTCATAGGCTTTTTTGAGTTTGGGCAAGGACACAGGGGCCCCATGATCCCCTATTGCCCGGGGGGCCCCATGAGTTGTCAGTCCGCCCCTGCCCCCGACTGTGTGAGCAAATGTGCAGCAACTGGTACCCCATCATTAGTTGGATGCACACACCAGCTCTGTCTTCTGCTTGCTCCTTGTTGGCAAACTACAATTCCCAGCATGCCCTACCAAGCTAGCCAGAGTCTAGCCATCACCGGTGTGTTGTATTCACCTCACAACCAGATTGTCCATCCAGATCAGATTTTGATTGTTCCAAATGGTCTTTGTGTTTTTCAATACATACCTTATTCCCAGTCATCGTTGGGACTCTGTGCTTCTCTATGCAATGCAGGCAGATCATGGCTGGTGGGAGGGGCTAACAGGGTGCTCTCCATCGCTTCTTGAAAACATCCCAGCACCCTGCTTCAGTAGTCCTCTCAAGATCCGTCAGTCCTGATCCAAGCAGCGGGAGGAGTTATGCAAATATCAAAGTGCTTTGATGGGTGGATGTTGAATACAGAGAATACCGGGTCGGGTGATAGAATATCATGTGATATCTGAACAACATCTAAAAATTGCAATAGCAAAAATGAAAAAGTATAATGGCGGTGATCAGCAACTTGTAGCGGGACTGCGGCAGGCATTCTGACACTGGGGGGTGGGAACTGACTTGGTGTCACTGACATCACTGGTGACACCTATACAGTGATCAGTGCTAATAAGAAGCACCGACACTGTACTAATGGCGCTGGGCAGGAAGGGGTTAACATCTGGGGCCATCAAAGGGTTACCTGTGTGCTGTGTTACTATGAGGCTATGTGATGTGTGTGTTTCACTGTAAGCATGCTGCTATGCAGAGCCATACAAAGCAGTGTGCAGGAGCTGACTGGGGAGAGATCTGTGTTGTTTATAAACAGGTCTCTCCCCCGGTCAGTGATACTCGGCAATCACCGGGTACCGGCAAGAAATTACCTGCCGGGACCCGGTGATTGACAGCCGAGGCCGCGAATGGCGACTACCCTAAAATGTAAAATCACGTATATATATAATGCGTATACCCCATGTGTACCCCACCCTCACATATATATATATATATATACATGATTTTGCACACTTGTGCCACCCTGTAGCAGTATTTCTGCTATAGGGCAGCACGAAAGCGGTTAAAAGAAAACAAAACTGTTCAAAAAAATGTAATCTCCAAAAATGCTGACGTCGTCCAGAGGCGGATGATGAAACACACAGGGCCGGGCTGAGACGTGACGTCACCACGCATTTTGGTGTGCGCTCGCGACCAGAAGGTCGGAGCGAACCCAGGTCTAATTTTAAGCCCGTGTACCTCTTGTGTGGCGAAGGGGAGGAGCCGGTACACCTGCGCAAGACTGGAGGGGAGGAGCTGGTACACCTGTGCAAGACTGGAGGGGAGGAGCCGATACACCTGTGCAAGACTGAAGGGGAGGAGCCGATACACCTGTGCAAGACTGAAAGGGAGGAACCGATAACCTGTGCAAGACTGAAGGGGAGGAGCTGGTACACCTGTGCAAGACTGAAAGGGAGGAACCGATACACCTGTGCAAGACTGAAGGGGAGGGGCCAAGATTGAACACCTCGTATCCAAGACTGCAGGAGAGGACCCGGTACACCTGTCCAAGACTGAAGGGGAGGAGCTGGTACACCTGTGCAAGACTGATGGGGAGGAGCCGCAAGACTGAAAGGGAGGACACCTGTGCAAGACTGGAGGGGAGGGGCCGGTACACCTGTGCAAGACTGAAGGGGAGGAGCCGGTACACCTGTGCAAGACTGAAGGGGAGGAGTCGGTACACCTGTGCAAGACTGAAGGGGAGGAGCCGGTACACCTGTGCAAGACTGAAAGGGAGGAGTCGGTACACCTGTGCAAGACTGAAAGGGAGGAGTCGGTACACCTGTGCAAGACTGGAGGGGAGGCTGGAGGCCAGATTAAAAAGAGACCAACCTTCGGGTATTTATTGTGTCTGATGGCGGTTATATAGTTCCACAGACCTGCACCCCTGCACCCCCCTCCCCCGCACCTCCTGAAGGACATTAGCTGTCAGTGGTGAGCAGAGCTCATTAAAAGCGTTTTTGCTGATTTACAGTCTTTGCCGCCATCTTGGCGAGCTCTGCGATCGCCCGTCCGCTTCCACAATTCATTATGCTTCTCATCCTGAAAAGTGGTTTCCTTTGTCTCCAGGCCGGAGACTCCACATTGATCCTTGGATTGACTAATAAACCTCCATCCGCACCCCATACATGAAGGTTTACGCTCAGTGATCCCCCCTGGGGCCCCGCTGGATGACAAGCCCCTTAGTTTAATGGGCCCCATTAAAGAGGCAGCGTCTTAGAGTCGGCCGTGTTTAATTGCTGTAATTACAAGTTGTGACATTTTGTTTTTTCTTTATTTCCTTTTTGGTGATTTGGTTTTGGTAACATTTATTTGGATAATTAAATCCAACGTTCTCCTTTTTAATGGGCAAAGTTTATGTGAGGACATGACACGTTGTATGGATGGGGAGGAGAGTTTGGAGGTGGCTGGATGAGCTCTGCTCTTCACAAAACCACAATCAGATTGGATCCTCTGTGCAGCATGTGACCTGTGGGAAGGTGACGCCGTATTGTAGAGCAGCGCCGATCCATCAACCTCCAATCAGATTGGATCTTCTGTGCAGCTATGTGACCTGCAGGAAGGTGGCACCGTACCTGCAGGCAGAGCAGCGCCGATCCATCAGCCTCCAATCAGATTGGATCTTCTGTGCAGCATGTGACCTGTGGGAAGGTGGCACCGTAGAGCAGCGCCGATCCATCAGCCTCCAATCAGATTGGATCTCTGTGCAGCATGTGACCTGCAGGAAGGTGGCGCCGTAGAGCAGCGCCGATACATCAACCTCCAATCAGATTGGATCTTCTGTGCAGCTATGTGACCTGTGGGGAAGGTGACGCCGTAGAGCAGCGCCGATCCATCAGCCTCCAATCAGATTGGATCCTCTGTGCAGCATGTGACCTGTGGGAAGGTGGCGCCGTAGAGCAGCGCCGATCCATCAGCCTCCAATCAGATTGGATCCTCTGTGCAGCATGTGACTTGTGGGAAGGTGGCGCCGTAGAGCAGCGCCGATACATTTGCCTCTAATCAGATCAGAATTGCTGTGCAGGAAGATGGCATCATAGTGTGGAGCCGATCCAACCACCTCCAATCAGATTGGATCCTCTGTTCAGCTATGTGACCTGCAAGAAGATGACGCCGTAGAGCAGTGCAGATCCATTTGCCTCCAATCAGATTGGATCTTCTGTGCAGCTGTATGACCTGCAGGAAGTAGTACCAGAGAGCAGAATGGGGGTGATGGTGGTCAGTGGCTGTAGGTACAGCCCTCCACTCTGGTCACATGATGTAGGGGTAGGTAACCGTGGCACTCCAACGGTTTGGGAACTACAAATCTCATGAGGCATTGCAGGGCTGACATCCATCGGGCATGACTCCAAGAGGCATGGGGGGGGGTGATGGGATTTATAGTTTCTCTACAGCCGGAATGCCGAGGCTGCCTACCCCTCATTCAGTACCCAATGGGAAAAGTCTCCATGAACCGCCTCTAAGCCGTGACATCCCTCCCCTGGCTGTGGATACACCAATCACTGGCCTTTATATTCTCACCGTTCTCCTGGCTACGCTTTCAGGTCAGGCTGACCCTCAGAGAGCGGACAAGGGAGGAGGAAGCTGAGGGATACAAAATCTGAACTGCAGCACTGACAGTGACATGTTGCGTGTGGGGGATGTTCAGGCAGGAGATGTTTTAGGAAAAGGGGGGAGAATTTAATAAAGTTGTGTGTATGCGTTACTTTCAGGCACCATGTTGACTCCTTAAGCTGTGTAATCCCCAATCAGTACCAGGATGGGGGGGGGGGGGTCCAGTGCCCAGTGCCCAGGGCAAGGGTCCAAAATTGTGCCCCTTCCACCACTGTTAATACATGTCATGGAATAGGTATTCTTTGCCCCCTTGTTTCTCCCCCCCACCCTTGTCCCAGCCCTGCCCCTTCTGCCCCCCCACTTGTCCCAGCCCTGCCCCTTCTGCCCTCTCCACTTGTCCCAGCCCTGCCCCTTCTGCCCCCCCCCCTCTTGTCCCAGCCCTGCCCCTTCTGCCCCCCCCACTTGTCCCAGCCCTACCCCTTCTGCCCCCCCCCCCACTTGTCCCAGCCCTGCCCCTTCTGCCCCCCCCCACTTGTCCCAGCCCTGCCCCCTCCTCTGCCCCCCCCCCTTGTCCCCCCAGCCCTGCCCTTCTGCCCTTCCCACTTGTCCCAGCCCTGCCCCTTCTGCCCCCTCCCCTCTTGTCCCAGCCCTGCCCCTTCTGCCCCCCCCCTTGTCCCAGCCCTGCCCCCAATACCCCGGCATCTGTCCTACAAAGCTGTCATCACCCCATACTTGGGGTGCCTCTTTCTAAAATAACCCCTTGCAGAGGGAATATCTCCGCCATTCTACAGGCGACACAAATAATTCCCATACTTGGTTTACTTCTATGTTCAATAGCGCCATCTATTGGCCATAATGTTGAATTTTTCTGAAATCTCTGGACTGGGACAGTTCCGCATTATGGCCACTATATGGGGCTGGCAAAGTAGTATATAGCTGGACTATTATTTATTTATTACATCGAGTTTATATAGCGCCAAAGGGTTTGCTCAGGGCTGTATGTTGTTGCTGGACTATGTTGTTCCCCCTGCGGTGGCGGGGTCTTTATCTGTTTCACATGTTTTTGTTGCTGTCTGTGTTCCCTCTCAGGGGATCCTCTCTCTCTCTCTCTTTGTCCTGGTGTTACCGACACAAAAGCCAATTGTCGGGTGA